TTGTCTCAAGGATCTTACCAGTGACTGGCAGGAGTGACACTGGTCTGTAGTTGCTGATTTCTGCTCTGCTCTTCTTTTTGTGAACAGGGACTACATTTGCCTTTTATTAGTGAAGTTGAGCGACCTTCACTGGCTATTCACCAACAGGTAATGCTTGAGCTGGGATATACGCCTCTACCGACATAAGCCATAAGGGCGAAGTTTGACGGCCGAGGGCAAATGATATCTTGTTGACAGCAACGAGGATGTCACAGGAGGGGGGGGGGAGATGTCATCAGAGAACGTATGAGAAGGGTAAGGTACCCTAGGCTGGGATATGTACCTTCACTTGCAAAGGTCTTATTTGTTGTTAGGTAAGACACACATGCAACAGTTAGCTATCTTTATTTCGAAACGTTTCGCCTACACAGTAGGCTTCTTCAGTCGAGTACAGAAAAGTTGATAGAAGCGGTATTTTATACCATTTTAATGTTCACAAAGGCCTTATTTATCATTCGGGAGTATTAAAAATTCAAGAAAACCAAGCATTGTGGCTTATTTCAGTTGAGATCTTTAGGTCCTCCTCCCTGGGATGTGACCCACGGTATCTATTTCTAGGTGAACAGCGGCAGGTATAAGACTACCTTAGACGCCTCGCCTTGCCAAAGAATAGATCCTTTGTCCTTTTAAGAACATAAAAAAGAAGGAGCACTGCAGCAGGCCTATTGGCCCATGCTAGGCCACCCACTGGCCCAAGCTAGTTAGGTCCAAGTCACATCCGCTTAAAAAAGGAGTACTGCATCGGAGTTATTGGCCCAAGTAAGTCAGGGTAGGGGTGGTTTTGATAAGGACCTGCCTTGTATGGGCCAGCAGGCCTTCTGCAGTGTTCCTCCATTCTTATGTTCTTATGTTCATGCATCTGTCTAACCTATCTTTAAAACTACACAACGTTTTAGCTTAGTTTAGTTTAACATCTTTATTATGTACCCCATACCCATCCTGAGGTGGTAGTCAAAAAATTACAGAAGCACATAATGGGTCCAGGGACTGGGCCGCAAACTTTTGATAGCTAAACAAGCTACAGTGGTAATGAACTATATACATGGTTATATCCGGTCACAATCGCAATGATTCTATCCATGCAACATATTCTCTTTCTCTCTCTCTCTCTCTCTCTCCTCTCTCGCTTTCTCTCTCTCTCTCTCACCTCACACACACAAGACGCACGCACACACACACACACACACACAACATCACACACACACTACACACAACACACACACACAACACACACACACACACACACACACACATTCCCACAGCACACAAGAAGATAGAGAAAGTACACAAAGGGTTTGCAACAAGGCTATTCCCCCATAGCCAAGGGAATGTCGTACGAGGAAGGTTAAGGAAATCGTGACTGACGACACTGAGGACAGAAGGGTCCAGGGGGAGACAAATAACGAACATACAAGATACTGCGGGGAACAAGACAAGGTGACAGAGATAGGATGTTCCAGAGAGGGGACACCGGGACAAGGTCCACAACTGGAAGCGGATAGACTCAGACAATCACAGGGAGTTTAGGAAGTATTTATTCAGTCAATAGAGTTGTCAGCAAGGTGGAATAGCCTAGCAATGAAGTAGTGGATCAGACCATACATATTTTAAAAGAGGTATGACAAAGCTCAGGGAAGCAGAGAGAGAGAGGATCCAGTAGCGATCAGTGAAGAGGCGGGGCCAGGAGCTGAGTCTCGACCCCTGCAACCACAATTAGGTGAGTACAATTAGGTGAGTACACACAGTGATCAAAGTTAGGGTATTTTCCAGAATGGCTTGTAATATACCACTGTGGATAAAATACTTCGACTTTTCTTGAACATTTCTGAGTGTCTTGTCTCTGAATTCATTAATTTTATCGCATTCCAACACAAAATGACGCAAAGTGTGACAAATGTCCATCAGGCAGTTTACATTTCGTTTGGTCTACATCTGGTGGTAGTGATTTAACCTCCCAAAGATACTTGTATCCCAGCTGGAGCCGGGCGGTAGTGACACCCAAGAGTCTGCTTATTTTCTTTGATGCACCAAAGATATGTGGCTCCTCCTGCATGACAGAATGATGATAGACTGGCAGATGTCATCCCCTCATCTGTTCTAATCCTGCACCTGAAGACCAGTGTGAGATGGAATCCACAGGTGTGCTCTGTTTTAGCTTCAATGACGTTACTCGGGAGTTTGTTCCGCTCATCTACAACTCTATTAGCAAACCAGTGTTTTCCTATATCCTTTCTAAATCTTTTTTTTTTTTTTAATTTTAACCCATTGCTGCGAGTTCTGTCATGGTTAGATATTTTAGCACGTTATTTACGCCCCCTTTATTTATTTTTGTTTTCCATTTATACAATCATATCCCCCCTAATTCTACGCCTTTCTGGGGAGTGAAGATTCAGTGCCCTCAGTCTATCCTTGTAGGAAAGATTTCTAATACATGGGATCAACTTTGTCATCCTTCTTTGTACGTTTTCCAGCGCATTTATATTCATTCTTTAATACGCTGACCAGAACTGCGCAGTATAATCTAAATTAGGTAGGCGGTGCAACATTCCCCCAGTGAATAGCAGGGGAGCTACGAGTACGCTAAGAGACAACCAATACGTAGTTCAGGGCCTAGCAAGACTGTTTAATAACTGCCTCCCTGCACACATACGGGGGGATTGCCAATAGACCCCTTGCTCTCTTCAAGAAGGCGCTGGACAGACACCTAAAGTCAGTACCTCACCAGCCGGGCTGTGGTTCGTACGTCGGTTTATGTGCGGCCAATAGTAACAGCCTGGTTTATCGGCCCTGGTCCACCACGAGGTCTGGTCACAGACCGGGCCGAGCGGGAGTTGACCCCGCGAAACCGTCTCCAGGTATATCGAGCTGAATAACCTTGAAGGATTCTGTTATTATATATTTCTTGATATGAACCGAGGTATTCTATTCGCTTTACTGCGAACGCTCTACACGAAGCTCAAATTCACTCGAAACTCGGGCATTGCTATTTGGCACTCTATCTCGCACTTAAGAAAATAAAAAACTTTCATTGTCCTGATGTCACAGTTAGAAAACTATAAGAGATGTGGTTTGTAATCTTTTTTTTCACATTTGGAAATAGATTAGAATAAATAACCTATGGCGTGTTTATTACATACTATTCGATACGTGATGCAACCATTGCATTTAAACTTCTACATGGTGTACACCACCATACTAAAGCTGATATTTTCTATTTATGGGTTTAATATATGTTGTGAATTTTATTTCAGTCATTTGTCCATAAATTATACTTAACTATATATATGGAAAGTTACTGAAGTGGATATTCTCTTGCCACAGTAATTACGTGAATTTTAGTTATAATCTCTTCGTTGTAGGTTACCCAAGGAATATACACTGAGAATTGTTATCTCTCAGTATATATACACAGAATTTACGTTATTCTCTTTGTTAGGGATAGGAGGATATCGGTATTAAATTCATAACTAAACTACAAACAAATTGGAGATGAAACCAGACGTTTCGGTCGTTTCAGGCCATTATTAATTTGGCCTGTTTACGACAAATCGAAACGTCGTTTCATCTCCAAGTCTTGAATTTGTGAATCGTTCCGGAAACTGTATTGCGACTCTTATTTTCTATAGCATTAGCTCCCGAAAAAGAAAAACCATCCTAGTTACAAACGTTTTTATCCCAGGAGATACTGATCACCTGAAAAAAACCAAAGTAATGTAAGAATAATTTCAGGCTCCCTAGCTCAGACGCACACAAAGACACGATCCTGGCAAAACCTTTACTCTTCCTTGCCCCGTTTACTTTAAATAGACATGAAACACTTGGCACAGATTGTATCAGCCTTTTTTTTATTAAACAAATCAATCTTACAAGCAAGGTTTCAGGTATGCATGCCCAAAGACTCGAATACCAGCGAGTTCATCTAACAAATCCATGTGGTGTCCGGAGCTCTATAAAAGTGTTAAGCTCCCCACATAATTAGTCTCAACACTGGCCAAATTGATTCTGGGAGTGACCGCCTAGCTTTGGCTAGGCGCTCATACTTATATCTGGGGATCTGGCTGTGTGGCTATAGTATTGCGTATTCTGATGCAGTGTGCAGGTTCGAATCCTGCTGTGGACTGAGAGATAATGTATTTATATATGAACAAGCAGAAAGATGGACAGGGAGCTCTAACCGTGGTCCCGAGAATAATAGGTTCAGCGCTTTACCATTGAGCTAAGGGGCTTCTAATATGAGTTTCACAGAGGGTACTGTTGTGTCCTGTCTGTCAGTGGCTACCATCTGTAACCATACTGTCTTTTCCCACAACCCCTGTAGTTTTACAGTAAATTTATCCTTACCTCCCTCAAAGCCACAGTCCATGAACTCAATTTAAGTCGTAATGAACGACTGTCAATGAATAAACAGAAATACGGACGGAGGCCCGAACCGTCCGTGGTCCCTTTATGTATGCATGTATGTACGCATGTATGTATGTATGTATGTATGTATGTATGTATGTATGTAGTATGTATGTATGTATGTACGTATGTATGTATGTATGTATGTATGTATGTATGTATGTATGTATGTATGTATGTATGTATGTATGTATGTATGTATGTATGTATATTGATAAATTGTCTGACAGGTTTGTAGATGAATGGTTCAGAGAACCGACATGTTGATTTATCAACATGTCGTTCTGCTGAACACTCATCTACAAATGTATGTATGTATTTATTAAGTATGTATGTATTGATATGTATTTATGTATGTTTGTATGTATGGGGGTTAATGTATGTAGTATATATGTATATATGTATATATAAATATATATATATATAGTAGATATATAATATAATTATATATATTATATAATATGATATTATATATATATATATATATTATATATAATATACTATGATTATTATAATCTATATATATTATATATTTTGCACAGAAAATCTGGTGTACTTACAGAACTGTATGAGCGGGACTCGCTTTTGTGCTGGGGCATCAGGAAGGTCTTGTGAGAGCCAGTAGCAAGCGCCATTCATTAGGTAAGTCTTCAAGTAATACTGGTTCCTCCATCTTGGGGCGCACACCTGCACTCACACACGAAGATGGTTATTCTACATTTTGGTAAATAAAAAAGCAAGTTCAACCACAGTGTGCGGTTACCCTATTTATAATGGTTACACTGTGGAAGCATAAGAAGTTATGTTATACTGTCGTATTTTAACGCACAGGTTGGGTTGTAATAGTCTGTCAATCTTACTTAGCAGGGAGACTTCAGTGGAACGAGGAGGATAGTGTCAAGTATTCCACAGTGGGTTCAAAATCTATAAGAACTTAAAAGTTTTCGTTTCAGCAATTCAATTATCTTCCATCCTCTTCACTGGGGAGGGTAGATTTAATATTATATCTTTTCGTGACAAAATCGGTAATGTTCTCTAGTTCAATAACAAAAAAGGCACAATACCGTGATTGGAACGATACACAAATAACCCGCACATAAAAGAGAAGCTTACGACGACGTTTAGGTCCGACTTGGATCATTTACAGTCACACTAACCAGAACTGAACTGAGGACTCACAGGTAAGGGCCCACTAGGGGCGAGGGGCAAGTGGGGACAGGATGAAGATAGTCGGGGAGAGGAAAAATCTTAAGGAGGAAAAGTGTAAGGAGGAAAAGTGTCAGGACTATACCCAACTGCTAATCAATGAAAACATAATGTTCAGCATTATATCTCTCGTGAGCATATCAGCTTGCAATGACTGGACACGGCACAGGCACATGTTACTGTGAAAAGGCGACGCAAACACACGTCGCAAGCACTTCAGCTCAAAACGCACAAAGACACAGCTCTATGACAATGGCACTTTTAAGCTGTTGTAATAGTTAGGCTAATTAAGTCAGGTAGTTTATTTGTATTGAGGTGGAGGTGCCGGGTCGTACAACGTTTGAAAGAGATTTACATCATTGTAAGGACGTCTGAGAGTATCTGCTAAGTATGTAGTCCAGTGGTCATGATATGCTTCAAGTCTGTCAAGTTGTTTGTCACTGAGTGTCTTCCAGTATACGTTCAAAGCTGGTGTGTTTGTCGTGAGGTGGAGAGATTCACTGGTGGCAAATTTGTCCCACTTCACTCCCAACACCCAACGTAATGCTAACCAGAAGTACGAACGAACGAACGAAAGTTCAGGTAAGATCCCAAATGGGATGAGCGAGGAAGACGGGACAGACGAAGAATAGTGCTGGAGAGGAGTGTTCTTAGTCGTAGAAATAGAGCCAGGGCTTAACCCAGCAGCGAGGCGATCATGGGACAGATATTGAAAAGAGAAATACAGGCTCTTCTGTTGGGACTCCGGTGGGGTGAGCGGGAAGGAAGGGACATGCGACGTTTAGAGCTAGAGAGGAGTGTAGAACTGAGCCATGTCTTAACCCAAAGGAAAGGGCGAACGTGGATCAGAGAATGGTACCTGTCATAGAAGGTACCTCTCGGGGGAATCCAAGGTTATTTGTAAATAGGGTTAGGAGCAGGATCATGCAAGGAGTAGAAAAAGGTTGTGTTGGTTTGGGGGTTTCTGCGATGTCTTCGTCAAGGAGAGAGGTCCAGTAGTCATGTCGTGTCTCAAGTTTGTCAATCTGTCTGTCACTGAGCGTCTTCCAGTACAGATTCAGCGCAGGGATGTCTAACTGGGCTGTAGAGACTCGCATGTGGCGAAGTCCTCCCATCTGACATCAAGCACCCAGCGCAGAGCCTTGTTCTGGACACGCTGCAGTTTAAGTAAGTTTGTTTTTGCTGCAAGAGAGAGGGCTAGAGGAGAGTAAGTTATCAGAGGACGTATAAGGGATTTGTAGAGGTGTAGTTTGGTGCGTTGAGAGGAATGTTTACAGCTTGTAGGGGCCCCGCAAGGGCCTTACTAGCTATTGCATGCCTTGAAGAATGTGTCCGTGTAAGCGTAGAAGGTAATCAAGATTAACGCAAGGACAGTGACAGATTGTGTCATGGGGATGTAAGTGCGGGTGCCCAGCTGTTCTGAGCTCGACAGGTAATGGAGGATCACGTTTTCTGTAGTTAAAATATGTAATGCTGGATTTAGCTGCATTGGTTTTGATCCTCCATTTTGTTCCCAGATGGCATCCTGTGGGCCCTCATTTGTTTTTTGGGTTGTGTGTGTATCTATATTGGTATGAGTGATAAGTTATGTAATGTCGTCTGCATAGGCTAGTGTGATGGAGTTTTGGTATACAGGTGTTGGAATGTCGTTAGTGTATAAAATGTAGAGGGTAGGGGAGAGGATAGATCCCTGGGGTACTCCAGCATTTAGTGTGAAGTAGTCAGGTAACAGCCTTGGAATTTGATTCTCATGGTCGGCCGTCTAGGAAGTTGCAGAGGAGTTTCGAGTAGTGAGAGGCAGGTTAAAGTTAGTGCAGAGTTTGTACTTGAGCACTTGGTGCCAGACAGTGTCAAAAGTTTTTTCAACGTCTTTTGCAACCAGGGCTGTCCTGTTTCTTTGTTTTGTGTTTATGTGGATGTTAGTTGAGAATGATGTTGATGGCATCTTTTGTGGATCTGTGTGTTCTGAAGCCAAACTGACCATCAGAAAGTAGAGAGTTGTGTTTCAGGTATCTGCGAAGGCGATGGTTGATGAGTTTTTCAAAGAGTTTTCCTAAAGTTTCGAGGAGGCTGATAGGGCGATGTTTCTGGATCAGAGTGGTCTTTTTTGGGTTTTTGGAAGGAGGATAGCAGTAGCAGCTTTGAGAGGGAAGGGAAGTACCTGAGGGAAGGGAGACATTGAGGAGGTTTGTGTAGGCAGTAATGATAGAGTCAGGAAGGTGGGTTTTTGGATAATATTTGGGTTTTGGCCAGAGGCGCCAGGCGCCTTGGGAGGAAGGTGTCTGAGGAGAGTTTTAATGTCTGTGTTGGTGAAAGGAAATGTCGAGTTCTTGGGAGGAGGTAAGAGAGTCTAGATTTAATGTGGCTATCTGGTGTTGTTTTCGTGTGTGTGCATTGTTCCCGTGTTCTATGTTCTGAATGTGTTGAATAAGTTAGGGTGAGGTCGGTGAGGGTAGAAGATGTTCTCCCAGATGTGTTTGAAGATGTTGGTAGCAGCCTGCGGGTCTGAGATGTGTGTGTTGTTGTGGGTGATGTGTTTGAATTTGTTGGTGGGAGTAGTGCCTCTAATTTTTTTGATAAAGTTCCAGAAGGCTTTAGTGTTTTTGATACGCTGTTTGTCAGCTTGTTGTATGAGTTGTGACCAGTGATTGTTGTGGTCTTGGTCTAGACTGTGTAGAATGTTGTTTCTAAGGTAAGTGAGATCTAATTGAACTTGATTAAATCTGTGTGTGTTGTAGAGGAAGCGGTTGTGGTAGCAGATAATTTGTCTTCTTGTTCTGAGTGACGGTTTGAAGGAATAACGAGTGGTGTGAGTTTTGCGTTGTTGGCTGCTTGTGTAATGGTGTCCTGGATGAGATCAAGTTGAGTATCGATGTCAGAGATAGGTTTGTTGTTATAGTAGTGGGTGAGGTTTTAAAATTGTCTATGTGTTGTTTGAAAGCATCCCCGTCAGCGTTCTTGTAGGAGAAGGAAGGTGTGGTTGGAATGAGGATAGGGTTGGAGGAGATGTGCAAGATGACTGAGATGTGATCAGAGCCTGTAATAGGGCCAGGTGAGATGTAGTGTTGAAATAGAGAGCTGGCTCGGTTTGCCAGAATGATGTCTGGTTGCCTTGGCCCGTGTGATTGAAGAAGGTATTGAAGTCTGGGCCGAGATGAACCAGAAGTGGAGCAGGACGGCTATATATAGGCAGGAAGAGGTGGGTGGTGTGGTGGTGGTAGTAGTAGTAGTAGTAGTAGTAGTAGTAGTAGTAGTAGTAGTAGTAGTAGTAGTAGTAGTAGTAGTAGTAGTAGAGGTAGTAGTAGAGGTAGTAGTAGAGGTAGTAGTAGTGGTAGGGGTAGTAGTGGGGAAAAAGGAGGACGAGCCAGTCAAATACAAAGGAAGGGGAGCACTGCAAGGGAGCTAGGTGCCCACAGAGGGAGAGCAAGCGCACAGAGGTGGGTGAAAGGGGAAGTGGTGAAATAAATAAAGAAGGAACAGAAACACGAGACAGAAGAGAGAAAGACAACCCAGAGGAGAAAAAGGAAAGAGGAAAGGGGAAGAGGGAGAAGAAGAAAAAGAAAAAGAAAAAATGAGGAGTCAGGTTAAGTCACGGGTGTTCTGAAGTTTGGAGCATTTTACAATGTAGTAGGAGAGGAAGTCATCTACAGAGACGAAGCCAGGGCTAAGGTTCATACAAGGAAAGTTGTGTATTAGAGAAGATTCAACTAGACGGCAACTGTTCGAGTTGGAAGTAGGGAAGACAGATTTAGCAGAAGACCAGTCAATAGGATGGCTATGATCTCTGACGTGACAGAAAAGAGCATTGTTAGTACCATTTCCTCAGCATTGTTAGTGTCGGCAAGCCTAACACTATTTTTGTCCTCCCTAAGTCTGTCAGAAAGAGATCGACCAGTTTCTCCTGCCTATATATAGCCGTCCTGCTCCACTTCTGGTTAGTGTGACTTTGTAAATGGTCCAAGTCGGACCGAAACGTCGTCGTAAGCTTCTCTCTTTTATGTGCGGGTTATTTGTGTTCTCTAGAGCTTTAGACTAGATTTACTGTGTTTAAATCTGCATTCTAAATTATCTCTGCTATTGATTTTGGTATAAATAAATTTGCTCTATTGTATTTATTATTAGTTTCCTGATGCCTTAGCGGCAGTACAGCTTGTGTAAAGTTTCTATCACCCACAGGGTCAAAAAAAAAAATTATTGGTTCTAGCTCCTTCTCTGCAGTCATTACGTTCATTAACGTAGCTCCATATGGAGTCAAATATACCTAGCTAACATAATCAACTAGAACAAGTCACAATACCTTTACTAGAATAATGTATAATTAATCCGCAAATTGAAGTTGAAACCTTAACAATGTGCTGGTTCATCTTGAACATAAATATTCTAATGTCAGGAGCAGTGAAGAGCAGTAACCATGATCCCACTACACGGAACACTCACGAATTAATATAGAGATCAGTCAACAACACTCACTACACAATTCA